CTGCGGAGCAGCTGGGCCCGTGAGCCATGGCTGCTGAGCCTGCGTGTCCGGAGCCTGTGCTCCACAACGGGAGAGACCACAGCAGTGAGAGGCCCATGTACCGCAAAAAAAAAAAAAAAAAAAAAATCAAGGATGGGCATTGCCTCTGAGCCAGAAACTAGAGGAATTTTTGTTGAATCTTAATGTTATAAGAACTGGATTGAAGGAAGCCTTTGAGAGCTGAGTCTTATTTGTCTGGGATGTAGCAGAAAAGGGCTATGAAATGCCAGGGCTGTTCCTCCCTGGGAGATGGGTAAAAGAGAGTGGAGAGGAGACTTTTGGGAAGCCCACTCCTTAGGCCCTGGGGCCAACATTGTTGATTGGTAACCCACCCACCCATTGCCAAACCTTTGTTCCTCAATTCATCTCTACTATATAGTCTGAAAGAGCTAAACACTTGCTTTGCCAGCCTCCCTTATAGCTAGGTGTACCCATGTAACACAGTTTTGAACACCAAAGGTTTTCTGGGAGGCTTCTGAGAAAGTTTTTGCTTTCTAAAAAAAAGCTATGGGGGTGGCTGGCGTCGCCTCTTCTACTTTCTTCCTATCTTGAATGTTTTTGATGCTTGCAGTTATGGCAGCCATCTTGTGATGATGAGGGAGAAGCCAAGAGAATGTATTTATTATATACCAGGAAACTATAGCTTTTCCCACGGAAGACTATGAATTCAGGGGGAAAGGATCTATGAAGAGATTCTGCAGTTCACAATAAAAGGACCACAGATTTCTGAAGATTAGAGAAGCTACCTTCCTCTGAAGTAAAACAGAATGTTTTTAGAAGGTATCTGATTAGTCTTATCAATAGGATTCAAAGGTTATTGCCCCTCTTTGACTAAAGCAAACCATTATGAAAACGACATAATCTTAGATCATGAAATATTGAATAAGGATGAAAAAGATTGTGTTAAATTTAAAACGCCAATAGAAGCATTGAATAGGCAGCTGGACATGGCAAAATACTGAATTAGTGGGTTAATTTAAGGAAACAGAAAACAAGGACACAGGAAAAAAATGAGAGACTAGAAAATATGGAGAACAGGTCTAAGGATATGATTTAAAACTAATAGGAGTCTCTGAAAGAGAACAAGATAATTTAGAGCAGAAGTAATCACCAAGGAACTATTAGAAGAAAGCTTTCCTGATCTAACACAAGACCTCCATCTGAAAATTGAGTGAATCAGTAAACTCCCTGATGTGGCCCTACTTAGGTTTCCTCTCTCCGCCCGCACTCGCCTCTGTCCCTCTTGTATCCTAAGCCTCAGACACAAGATTTCCACTTTCCTCCGTGTTTAAATCTTCAGGACCTGGGACCATAGTGATATTTAGGTGCACTTCCATCTTATACACAGACATAAAAATACAAGATGAAGTTCATCTTGGAATCTGGCTTCCGGGTTTGAACTAAGGACAGGCACTTGGTTTGTTGAAGCGGGAGTGGAAATGGAATTACTGGGGCTGGGGTACCGGAACTGGGCAGATGGACTGTGTTGGCCTTTCTCTTTCCTTCTCTCTATCTCAGTCCTCCTAGCTGTCTTGAGCTTCCTTTCTCATACTGTATCTTTTCTATTTTCTCTCTCATGCTTTTCCTCCTCTTGAACTGACCATGATCTGAAACAAAAAAAATATATTTTATAGTCAATTGTATTCTAGGTGTAGGAGGTAAATTGTTTTTCAAAATGTAAAAGTAACTGAGGTTTTTCAGGTTTTCTGTGTGCCCCTGAATTGATTTTCCCCTCTGACTCTGTGGCCTTTGGTTGAAGTAATATTCTCCCTGTGAGACCAGAGACTGGATATTCCCAGGACAGTAGGATAGCTGAGTGAATTTGGAGAAGTGTGTGAGGAGAGCCACAAGGAGAGGGAAGGGAGCAGGGAGGCAGGCTTCTTTCTTGCTACTGAGCCTTCAAACTGGACTGTGATGGGAGGGATTTATGAAAGCAAAGGCACAGACACCTCAAGGGCAGGTAGGCAGTGCCAGAAAGCTGGGTGAAATGGACGATGTGACTGAAGAGCTAAGTGGACTAAGTAGCATTCTCCACAGGCCCTCAGGAAATGCCTAAGTGTTTACGCCAAACGCTGAGGTCATCACCAGTAGTGAGCCAGCCTCTGCTTTTGTGACTTAGATGTGACCCATCCTCCCACACACACACACCCCTCCCTCCACCTCTGAGAGGCAGGTGGGTCCTGCGGTAGGACATTATTTTATCCTCTAAACCTGCAAGTGTTTCATCTGCTCCTCCAGGAAGGTACTCACGACTTTCTACTCTGCCTTATAGTCCTCTGTAAATGTCTCAGCACCTTACCAGACAGATGAGCTTTTTAAAGGAAAGCTTCCTTCATTTGTCCATGTATCTGTCCATCCAAATATTAACTGTTGGGAACAGGCAGTTAAACACACGGCCTCACTCTAGGTCTAGTTGGGAGCTGACATGAAAGGATTTATAACCCTTGTGTTATAGTGTTTGAGGATGTTACACGATGTCAAGGAAGGGGTACCCCAGCCTGTCTGGGAACTCGGTAACACCGTCTCAGAAAATGAGGTGCTTGGGCCCACCTTGAATGAGGAGTAAGAAATGTTCACAGCACAGACTGGGGAAGAGCAGTGGGTAGCATTTCCGACGGGGGAAACCCTCTGACAGAGGCAGAGAGGTATGAGAGAGAAGAGGAGGTGTTTGGAACACCATGAGCCTTTGCTCTTTTCGAAGCACAAATTGAAACAAGGGGAGAGTGGCAGGAGGTGAGAGAGGCACATGGGGTGAACTTCTAAAGGCCCCAGTGCACCCCATTAAAGACCCGAGACTTAATCCCACTGCTTGGTTTCCTATTGCTGCTATAACAAATTCCCACAAACAGAGTGCCTTAAGACAATACACATTTAATGCCTTATAGTTCTGGAGGTCAGAGATCTAACATGGGTCTCATTTGGCTGAAATCAAGTTGTTAGTAGGTCTGCGTTGCTTCCGGGGACTTTGGGGCAGAATCTGTTTCCGTGCATTTTCCTGCATTTTCTTCGATCCACGGCTCCTTCTTCCATGTTCAGGGCCAGCAGCACAGCATCTTCAAGTCTCTCTTTCTGACCTCTCTTTCCATTGTCACATCTCCCGTCCTGCCTCCCTCTTATAGGGACTCTTGTGATGACATTGGGCCCACCTGGATGATCCAGAATAATCTCCCCATCTCACAGTTTTAAACTCAATAACGTATGCAGAATTCCTTCTGCCATGTAAGGTAACCTATTTTACAAGTTCCTGGATTAGGAGGGAAGCGTCTTTGGGGGGCCATTTTCTGCCTGCTACACGCACATACCCAGATGCCGAGAAAACAAGACTCCCTGTCCTTCTGAAGGAAGGGCCGTGGGGAGGTCCTGAAATTATGACCTAAGGGTCATTTCTAGCCATATTCCAGAAATCCTGAAGAGTCAAGTCTTAAGGACCAGGACCTTCACAAATGGGGAATTAAGGGGAAGGGGGTTGGAGGGGCAGGGGGCTTTAGTCAGGGGCCACCCTGGCTCCACCCAGCCAGCTTAGGGTGAGACAGACGAAAAGCCTTGGAAGTGCCCTTACACCAATGTTGAGTAGTTCCTCCAGCAGCTCTGCAGGGAGGGCTTGGTCTGGAGGTGCTGGGGGGAGAGAAAGGAAAAGCTGTGCTGCTAGGGAAATGAGGGGGCCCTGAGGAGACATAGAGATAGTGCAACACTGCTAGGGCCAGTGCTAGGAGAGCAGCGCTGGCGGTCAACGCCATCCACCCATGGCTGTACAGTGACCCTGTAGTGCTGGGCTCCAGTAGCTCCTGAGCAGGGTGTTGAGAGGACAGCACCCTGGGGAGGGGGCCTTCAAGAAGGGCATCTGACAGGGCGGTTCCTGGTCCGACCCAGCACAGGTCACATAGACTCCTGGTACCATGAAGGACTCATGCTGAGTTAACAGAGGACCCAAGAGGACTTGGGCAGAATGTGGTATTGAAATTGATGGCAGGATTTAGAATCCTATCTGAGATTTAGGTTACTTTCCATAGTCAGAGCTCAGTAAATGTGTGATGAGCAAACAAAGACATCCCAGGATCCCTGTGAGGTTCCCCACAGGTATCTCAGCATCATTTCTAGAGCTAAGGTCCCAGAGTGCCCAGCGTCCATCACTAGGGCTCTTAATTATGAGAATCCCTAAGGGAAAAGATGCCTCCAGCGCTGTGGCCTCCCCTGGCATCACGTCCCTAGCATTCGCCAGGAGGAGACAGTGTCCCACGGGCTCAGGAGCGTGTCCCTGTTGGTGAATGTTCTCTGTTCAGTCCCATCCCTGTTAAACTAAACGAGCCTGTGCATCCATAGACTGGTTCTCAAAACCAGTATCTCCTGAAAAACGTTCCCTAGGACCTCACAGTTGACAGTCTCTCTCATCAGCTGTGTTGAGGACGTGCAGTGTGGCACAGTGCCCTCATTACAGCTGTGACTCTGAGGCTAAGTAGCCATGTGGACCTAGACAAACATCCTCCTTCTGAGTCTTTCCTCATTTGTCAAGGAAAAAAGACAGATCGCAGACCTGATGTTCTATCATTTTTATTAATTTTTATTGACATTTGTAGTTTTCTGTTTCTCTGAGCCTTGATCACTGACTTGGGTTAGAAGTCCTCTAGAGGGAACAAACGTATGGACACAAGCAAGGAAGGCAGGGGTGGGGGTGGGATGAACTGGGAGATTGGGATTGACAGGTATACACTAATTTGTATAAAATAGATAACTAATAGGACCCTGCTGTATAAAAAAATAAATTAAATGTAAAAAAAAAGTCCTCTAGGAAGAACTGGGTTTTCTTTTTTTTCTTTTTTGCGGTACGCGGGCCTCTCACTGTTGTGGCCTCTCCCGTTGCGGAGCACAGGCTCCAGACGCGCAGGCTCAGCGGCCATGGCTCACGGGCCCAGCCGCTCCACGGCACGTGGGATCTTCCCAGACTGGGGCACGAACCCGTGTCCCCTGCATCGGCAGGCGGACTCTCAACCACTGCGCCACCAGGGAAGCCCGGACCTGGGTTTTCAATAACAGTAAGCACACCATCACTCAACACATGAGCATAATTAAGAACAGCTGCATACAACTAAAACCAGCTTCATTTGAAATACAGTGTTTAGATTGCTTAACCCTGTTATAGCTCCTAAACTCTGGCTTGAGAATGTGGCTCTAGAAGTCCACCTCAGCTCTGGTTTTCTTTGACCAGTCCAGCAGTGGGTTGGTAGATGGGTCCAGCCGATGGTTCTGTTTCATCAACCTGTCATCTTCTTCCTTTGGCATGTTTTAAATGATATAACCTTTACATTCTCTAAACCTTCTGTCGTTGCTGTCTGTGAACTTTCCAGAGTAAAGTACATTTTGAGGAGAGAATAGTCTGTGCATTTATCTCTGATACTGTCATTCCTTGGTGTTTTTGAGGAAGAGTGAGAGAATGTGTTTCTGGGTGTGTAATTAAATAAATAACATGTGTTCTTTTATCCAACAGCTGAAGCAATGGAAGGCATTTGAAGAGGAAAACCAAACAGTCAGACGCATGGCCAAATATTTCAGCACTCCCAGCAAAAGCTTGCACACCCAGTATGGTGAGGAACAGAGTTGCCACGTTAGAGGAGAGAAAAACTCCATGGAGAGACTCCTCACAGAAGTAAGCGAGACCCTGCCTGCTGGATTCTCTATAAAGAACTCCAGTCATGCATTGGTGGGCCCCATATGCCTCATTGCTAACATTCTTTCTCCTCCTCCCATTTCCCCAATTCCTAGCCATTCTGGTCTCCCTTAGCAGCAAGCAAAACCTCAACGTTTCGCCAGTGCCCCTCCCATTGCTGACCCTCACCCACTTCATTCATTCATTGGACAGATGTGTGCCAGGCATTGTGCTAAGTGCTGATGAACAAAACAGAGTCCCTACCTTCATGGAGCTCACAGTGTAGTGGAGGAAATAGATATGGATCAAGTAGCCATATAGTTATAAATGGTGATAAGAATTATGAAGGGAAAAATCAGAGTGGGAAGAAAGAGTGGTGAGGACAAGGGAACCTAATTTAGAGTGGTTGGAAAAGACTCTCTGAGCTGAGAGCTGAAGGTTAACTACAAATTAGCCAGGCAAAGAGTGCAGGGAAAAGCATTTCAGGTGTGGGGAACAGCATTGTAAAGGCCCTGAGGAGTAGTGGATGCTAGCTTCTGCTGTGTGATACACTCTTTCTTTACATAGATTAGTGCCCTTGTTTCCAAGATCCTATGGGGCTCCTTACTGTCTTTTCCAGGTGCTAACTAGAAATCTCAATCATCCTACCAACCCAGAAAATTAAGAGATGTCTAAAGATGGGGAGGAAGGATGAATAGAGCTTCTGAATATCGCAGTAGCGCCAAGGCAGAAACAAGGGAGCCCCCAGTCCTCTTTCTTCTGTTCTTCAGCCAGATTTGGCACCTCTCCCAGAACTGGGCAGAGTGATGTGGGCTTGAAGAAAGCACATGGGAAAGCTTGAGGCTGCACTGCCTCAGAGAGGAGGCACGGGGCCCAGAGGAATTAGCCAGTTTTGTCACACTAACTAAATTATATTCCATATTTTTGTTTTAGTAGAGAACATACCTGAGTAGGTGCTATATGGGAAATTATGCTTTTTCATATTGGACTGACACTGGGTGCCAATAGTCCCTATGCGAAAGGTGTGATGGGGACCTAAGGAACGTAAGCAATGAAGGGATTCAGCTCCCCAAGCACCCTCAGTCCCTCGCACCATTCCCTTGGTTCTGGACCTGTTTTTCCATCAGAGTAATACTTGTCCTTTCTTTACTATTTCTTTACTATTCTTTACTATTTCTTTACTATTTATCAAGCATTCAGGACCTTTTTTCAGAGCCAGATTTCTTCCCACCTGGCAAGGGAGTAGCATTGCCATTGATACTCTCTGAAGTCTTCAAAGAAACATTTTTTTTCAGCTAAACAGAAGGCCAGAAACTTGGCGAGAACACCCAGGATGGTTTTCATTCACAATCAGCTAATGTTGGAACAGCCAAGTGGCCTGACTCTTTAGCCTTATGGTAATTTGTGACGTTCTTTTTGTACTCCTGCCATGCTACCCTGTTTCCCATGCAGTGACTGAATCTGCTCTACCAAAAAGATGCCTTGAGTCTGCAGAGGCAGGGCCCTAATAGGGAGCAGATGCTTAGGTAGTAAAATGCTGGACTCCTGTCCCCGACACCCCACACCTGAACACCTTTCCCAGAGCAGGCCTGAGAACCAGCAGCCCATCCCAGAGCCCTGCAGCAGGCCTAGAGAGTTTCCGGTATCTGAATCCCCAGCTCCAGCACTGCCCAGTGGATGAACACAAGAATCTCTCCTGCCTCCGTAACCCCAGCTTCTCGGCTGCATTTCCCTCCTCTGCAGCCCCTCTGCTGCCCCAGTGTCCTCCTCCTACTTTCGCACCATCTGGGCAGTCCATCTTCTCATTCTTGCCTCCCTTTCCCCATGGCAATGGTCCCCAAAGGCTGTTTGGGGCAGCATCCATCCCTGACATCCCAGGCTGTGTGGAGGCCAGCAGGTAGAACCTCCCCAGAGCTTGAAGAACCTCCCTTCTACGCTCTGCAGCAGAGGAAACTCACCTTTACTTTTCTTCCTTGGAACACAGAAAGAGGGGGAGATTCCATTTCTCCCTGTGGCCTGCACCTTATGAAACATGCCTGTGGATGTGTTGCTTCCCTGGGTGTGCCAAAAGTGATCATTAATAAGCTCGTTTCAATGCAGCTGCCGTGGTCAGTCAGATTTCGGTCTCACCGTGGCAAGCCACGCTTCTGATTAGTATGCAGCCATGGTGAAAACAGAGTCCCACTTCCTTTACTGTAAGAAGGGAGATTTACTGATTAGGCTGGTGTTTCTAAATCTGTCACCAGCCAGCTTCAGATGTTTGGTTTGCTAGAGAAGAGTATTATTCCCAACTCAAGGTTTATACTGTTTTCCTATACTCTAAGGAATTTGTGGGTAAGGCACAAAAAGGCAGCACTCATATGGTAGTTCTATCTGTAGTTTTTTAAGGAACCTCCATACTGTTCTCCATAGTGGCTGTACAGGGAGATCAGCTCGGTGCTTTGTGACCGCCTGGAGGGGTGGGATAGGGAGGGTGGGAGGGAGGGAGACGCAAGAGGGAAGACATATGGGAACATATGTATATGTGTAACTGATTCACTTTGTTATAAAGCAGAAGCTAACACACCATTGTAAAGCAATTATACTCCGATAAAGATGTAAAAAAAAAAAAAAAAAGGCAGCACTCAGAGTTCACTTCCTGGGGTAGCTGTCATCAGCTGATGGCTCCCTCCCAGCTCTGTGAGGTGGTAGGGCCTCCTGAAGCCAGCGTGAGAATGTGCCAGGTGGGCTTCACGAGGAAGGGCTGGTGAGGAGGAAGAGAGTTGGGGTCCCTCCAGTGCAGCCAGCGCAGTCACCCCCGTGAGATGCTCAGAGAGATACCTGGCACCACCCAGATATCACGAAGAGCCTGAGTGAATGTCTTCCTGTTACTCACCCGCTCTGCTCCTGGCGAGTCCTTGAGTCACCTACACTTCCGCGACAACACCCAGCCCTTACCGCTCTGTGGCTGAGGAAAAGGGAGAATGAGCAGGCAGGTGCTCAGCTGCAAGTCCTTCCGCTTATTCACCAGTTGCTCACTGGTTCGGAACTCCCTCCTGAGGATAAGAGAAGTCTAAACCAGGATGAAACTGGGAGTACCAATAATCAGAAAAATCACCTTCCTGCTTATAAGTAGGGAGCAGTAGGTTTGCCTTGGAGTTGCTGCCAGAGGACTCTTGCTGGACTGGTTTACCTAATTTACTGTTCCCTCAAAGGTTCACTTCTGGGCAACTCTTCCATATCTACTTGAGAAGAAACCACAAATTCAATTCATAGGCAAGTTGTGTCAGGAATCCGAAAGAAGGGAAACATCCTTTTACTTCTAGGGCATAATAAATGGACATCCAAATGCTCATCCTCAGCTTCCAAAGAGGATGACAGCAGAGAGGCAGCATTTTGGTATTTGGACAAGCACTTCTTATTATCTTCTCCAAACTCTCGACCCCGTGCCATCTGCCCCGAGACCCATCAGCTCCCCACGATGATCTCTCTCCTGCTCCACTGCCTTTGAACATCAGAAATTCCAGAAGGTGGACATCAGGTCTGAACCAGACGATCAGCTGCTGTAGCACCGAAGGATGCTCAGGGCACACCCACTGCTGTTACTCTTCCTCCTGCTTCATGCCCCATGGTCCTGCAGTTAGAACAGGCACATCTCTGCAGCTGTCACCTGCCAGCCTCCCGGGCACTGCCTGTTTATCAACTGACAGCCATGCAGCAGGTAGGCAGCTCACCAGCAGAACTGCCCAACTTCATTTATCTTCTGGGCTCCCTTCTAGTTCTACTGAATCAAGCTATCAGGGACTTAGGCCCAATAATCCTTTTTTTTTTTTTTTTTTGAGCTTCTCCAGTAATTCTGATGCCTGCACTCCTTTGGGAGATACCGACAGCTGATAGTGCCACATTGGTAGCTTTGGCCTCCTACCCGCAAGTTCCAGCCAAGGGAGGTGATAACACCAACCTGAGATTCTCATTCCCCCCTAAACCGCACCCCCCACCCCCGGCTGCAGTCTTTTCACTTTGGCCCAGGAATCTCCATCCTTCTTGTTCTTCCCATTTTCTAGGCTGTTTAGCAAGTGGCAAAATGCTTGTTTCCCTATTCCTTCATTCCCTTCAGAGATGCCTCAAGGTCATCTGTATTTTGCAGAAGTATGATAGACCCAGAGTTGGGCCATCCCAAACACTGTTCTGACTGGTGTCCTGCAGAGTGACCTGACCCCCTGTGTTCTGAGCAAAGTTGAGCGGGTGCTGCAGCAGCCAGCGGGCAGCTAGACTGTGCCTCCCCTGACCACCCTTCTCGCAGACAGTGCCACAGTCTGGGGATGTATGAGGAGACTGAGATCATACAGCAGTAAATCATAGTAAACCGTTACTGAGCACACGTGGCAGCTCTTGTGCCAGACGCTTTGTATGCATCATCTCATTTCACCTCACGGAGGGACCTCCGCAGAGCCTAAGATCACCAGCTATACGTGGAGAAACTGGGATTTAAACCAGTGTCTTCTGATGCCACCCTTTCTCCAGCATGAGAGACAGTGTGAAAGCCCTCAGCAGCATCTTTTGTTGATGGTTTTGCTTTTGTTTTACAGAAAAATGCTGTGATTGAAAGCTTGCAAGAACAAGTAAACAACGCCAAAGAGAAGCTGGTGAGGCTGATGTCAGCTGAGTGCACCTATGACCCCCCCAAAGGGGCTATCCCGCCTGCCTCTTCCCACAGCAAGGACATCCTGGCTGCAGCCCCTCCCCATAGCCTAGCAGCTCAAGGGTCTTTGAAATGTCTCCCTGACTCTCTGAGTGATACCACCCCGGCCACCCAGGACTCCCAGAGTACCTCAGCACCTGCCTCAGGTGTACAAGGCGTCAAGGGGCCTGTGGAGGACACCAGCCCCTCACCGGGGCAGAAGGAGAAAATTGCTGCCTCCCAAGACTTTTCTGACCATTTAAATTTGGGCTGCAGCCAGAAGCCGCGGGCTGAGCAAAGCCAGGGTGTGGAGAGAAGAGACCAGGTACCCATGGCCCTCCAGCAGGGTCTCACGCCAGGTGGAGAAGGCTCTGTTCCTCAGAGACAGGGGCAGCTGGAGAACTCAGAGGGGCCCCAAGCGCGACCGTCAAGGGTGAATTCAGTGATCAGGGAGAAGCTTCAGGAAGTCCTCCAAGATCTGGGCCTGGGCCCTGAGGCTCCCGTCCCCCGTCCCCCGTCCTGTCCCCAGCAGCCCTGGAAGAGCAGTGCCTGCTGCAGCCCCCAGAAGATGCCCCTCTCCAAGGAGCTGGGCTTCAGCCCGTACATGGTGAGGAGAAGGGGCGTGGCACAGCGGGCTCGCTCGCACTTGCCAGGTTCTGTGCCCTCCTCTGTGGGGCGTCGGGTAAACAGGGCTGATTCTGGGGCACGCACTGGGCGAAATGTGCAGGACAGGGACAGCCCCTGCCTGGACCCCCAAACTGCAGATTCCAGAGTAGCAAGACCCTCTTCCGGGAAGCCTTTACTGCTCCCAGCTCCTCAAGGCAAGGCAGACTCCCCGGAGGGCAGCAAACAGTGCCAGACAGAGCCCCAGGGAGCCGAAGGGAGCCGCGCAGCCCTTTCTCACCAGCCTTCTGGTCCTGGCCAGGCACTGTGCCCCGCTGCCCCACGCCGAGCCAGAGCCTCGCCAGACCTGCCTGAGCAGCGGCTGCAGCGGTCCCCAGTGCCCCCAGGCTGCCCTTCCCTGTCTCCTCCACACAGCTACCTCGACACAGAATCCAGCAGCTCGGATGAGTTCTTCTGCCGCTGCCACAGGCCCTACTGTGAAATCTGCTTCCAGAGCTCCTCTGATTCCAGTGACAGTGGCTCGTCAGACAGCGACCCTGAGCCTGCTGGGAGGCTGGCTTCCTGGGAAAAGCTGTGGGCCCGCTCGAAGCCTGTCGTGAACTTCAAAGATGACTTGAAACCCACACTGGTGTGAACAGCAGAGCAAGTCTGGACGTAGAGCTCTGTCCGGGACAAGCCATACCATGGCCTGTTGTGGCCTTCGGGGAATAGACCAGTGCCTTGCATTGGACCAGCCCTTACCATGTTTCAGCTATGCTCACTTGAGCACTGTGGTACCTGGAGCACTTCTCGATCTATACAAAGAGGGGTATTGCCTGTCTTGTTCCTACCTCACCGCATTCCTGTAAAAGACTCCAGCCGAGTGCCCATAAAGGATACCCTTGGATAAAAGGTGCTCAATGAGCACAGAGGGTCTTCTGTCCTGGTCAGCCTATAATGTACAGAACTCTTCATATATACCCGATGGATGGCTGGGTGGACAGACAGATGGAGAAATGGAAGGAAAATTTCTGCAGAACCAGAGTTGTGAACTGTGATCCACCAGACTGGCTTTTTGGCGGCAGACCTGCTAGGAAGGCATCTCCCGTGTCTTTGGTTGGCCCGCTCTCGGCAGGGGCTTGTTTTGTTTCTGCTCAGCTTTGTGAACGGCACCACCCCTAGGTCCCAGCTTCCAGCCAGACTCAGCTCAGAGCCAACTGTACACCTCTATTTGGTGTTCATGTCTTTATACCGTTGTGGCACCTCAGCAGCATCCCTGAGACAGTCAGGTGTCCATGGGGCCACAGGTGACCCAGATCTCTCTCCTGGGCTCAGATGGCACCGGAGGCCCACCGCATTGACTTTGCCAGTGGTGCAGTTTTGCAATAGCAGGAAGCACGCACTGGCGATCTCTGTTGAGGTTGGGGAGGCCCTATTGGTCAAGAGGATGCCAACTAGGGCTACATGACCACTGATGGCTACATAAACCTAAAAACAGAAAATGGGAAAATAGAAAGGAAGAAATGGGGGAGAAGGTAGGAAAGAAAACAGGTTTTGAACGTTTACCTTGAGTCTAGCATGGTACTTGGAAATATCAAATATCGGTAATTCCTTATGATCACCCCATGAAGTAGATACTCTCGTTCCCACTTTTACAGATGGAGATGATGAGGCTTAGAGAACTGAGGTAGCTTCCCCAGCGTCACATTGCTGGAGAGAGGCCCATGTAGCGGCCCATGTGAGACTTGGCCACAGCTCACAGGACTCCAAGTGGGTAGACTTCCCTGGGGCACATCTCTTCACTTGTTCTTCTGGGAGTGGCGGGCAGAGCATGGCAGGCCAGACAGCAAAGCAGGGGTAGTGTAGGAAGCTGCAGTGCAGTCACCCTGCAGTCCAGGATGACAAAACTGGGCCCCTCACCTCGGGAAGCAGCCCTCCACTGCCTCAGGGGCCCACTCACACCTCCCACGGCAGCTGGGGAGTTGGTGAAAGATAAGTGCCAGGATCTCATCTGCTCCCAGAGCTGGGTCCACTTCACTTGTTGCTGAGCTAGTTGTCGTTCACAGGCTGTTCCCTGCTTGTTCACTTGTGTGTGCATCTGTGTGTGTACTTATGCTTGTGTGCAGGAGTTTGGGCCTCATTAGGTATGTCTGGAGGGGAGCACGTGGCTTTAAATGTCTCACAGAAGATGTATCACAGACTCTTGGTGGACCTTGTGAATCTCCAGACACTGGACCAGGAGGCCCTCCTGGTAACACAGCTTCTTCTATTGTCTACTTTTAAATACAAATATCATAATTTATTCTGCGTGTGGGCTTGTAGTTTCTGCTTGTGCTGTTTGTATGCTGTCCAAGTGAGACCTTAATAAAAGAAATGGCTCTCAAGGCAAGTCTCTTCAGAAATTGTAGTTTGGGGCTGGGGAGGAGGGGCACAGACAAGACTGAACCACCCAAAGGCGTGGAAATGCAGCAGCCATTAGAGTTGCTGCTGGCTTACCCTGGGTTCCAGGTGTATCTTCTACCACACTTCCATTTGTAACAGATTCTTCTGTGGTCTCCCCGTGCAGCTTCCTATCCCAGAAACACCCGTGGGTAGAGGAAACTCTGGAGACCCTCAATTCTTCCCACCCACTGGGGATCCTGTGGTTGGGCTTCACCTCCTTCAGCTCCTTTCCTCCCAGTATGTCACCGCTAGCAGCCTACTGTTCAGTAGTGTGGAATATGCAGGCTCTAAACCTGGCAGTGCTTCTCTCACTCTCTCTGCTCCTACACCCTCAGTTCCCTCATCCCAGCCCTTCCGCATCTCCATCTCTCTTCTATCTAGACTTTCTTTCCCCTCTTTGTGCATCTTGTGAATGACTCATCCCTCAAGGCTCAGAGCGTTCCCAGGTAAAAATGACATCCCCTAGTTAAATGAAGAAAGATGTTTTGGGGACCAGGCTTCACACTTAGTTGTATAGAAGCTTCTAGTATCCATTTTTCCTAGAATGACTTTGTAACACTTGCTAGACTTTGTTGAAAAGATGGAGAATCTACCCTATATTTTCCTTATTTATCATTTGGTTTGAAAACTGTATGCCAAGCACCACAACTTCCTGCCCCAGAAAACTGTCTCCAAATCTATTGCTTACTGTGTACTACCTCCGCACCCACTGCTCACCAGCTTCTTCCCTAGATCTTTTACTCAAGACCAGCTAATCCAGTGATGAAATTCTTGGAAGGATGAGTATGCCATGACTTCTGGCCTGCTCTTGATTGTTATGCTCTTGAAGAAAGGGCAGAAACTTGGTGCAAAGAAATCCTAGAGAAGTAAACATTGCCTCTGCTATTGTCATCGGGGCTATGCCTGTCTCTGTTGGTCGTAAGGTCTGGCATGAAGCCCAGCCTGCTTCTTACCCAAGTATATGTTGCTTTGCTGATTGAAATCTTAGGGTTGGAGGTGACCATCCTGATCCCAAAGTCTGCCCCTGTCTCTGGCCCGGGTCAAACTCTCTTTCCTTAAAGGATCAACTTGGCCTCCCCGGAGCTCAGGAGAAAAGAGCATCAGATGTAGGAGGCATGTTTTTAACGAACCATTTCACTTTGAAAACGGTAAAGAGAAAAGTCAATGCACATTCCACAAAAATCTCTTCTGTGTCTATATTTATTTTATTATATTTAGATGTGTCTCCTTCACAGATTGCAAGTTCCTGAAAGCACTGAGTGTGTCTTCTGCATCTTTGTATCCTCAAGAGTAGCCATCAGAGAGCTTTGCACAGAGTATGAGCCCAGTAAATGTTTGATGGATGGATTTCTGGGCAGATAAGTAGATGAAACAGAGGAAAAGAAACAAAGGAAGGCAGAGAACCTGTAATGCAGCAAAAAGGGAGGCAGAGCCATCTGGCTTCACTGCCTTTCGATGAGGTAAGAATAAGAAACAACATCACTGAAGAACCCAGAAGTAACTGAATTCTGAAAAAGACAGTACTTTACGTCTCTTAGAGGGAGGTGAGGTAGAGTGACAGAGTTACTGGAAGAGAAACAAAGTTACTGTGTTAAAGGTGTTCTCTTAAAGATGCTTTCCTCACAGGCTTGTAACTAAGTAGCCAGCAGTACTAGCAGGAGGACAGTCTGTTCATCTTTCTCACCATCATCTTCCTGAGTCCCCTTTCCCAGAGCCCCAAACAAAGCAGTTGTCTCTGTTCCCTCTGGCTGCTGCACGTCTCCCAGTGACAGCCTCTGGGCTTTATTAAGAGAGGTCTTAATGCAGAGATGGCAGCCTTGGGACTGAAAGCAGGAGAGA